ATCTTTTTAGCACTAATTATATGTACTGTAGGGTTGCGATCTTTTTAGCACTAATTATATGTAATTCCAGGGTTACGATCTTTTTCGCACTAATTATATGTACTGTAATGCTATTGACATGTGGTGTAAACTACAACACAAGGACCAAATACACCAAAGCGTCAACACAAGGACAAATATAGTTATGTAATTCCAGGGTTACAATCTTTTTAGCACTAATTATATGTACTGTAGGGTTGCTATCTTTTTAGCACTAATTATATGTAATTCCAGGGTTACGATCTTTTTCGCACTAATTATATGTACTGTAATGCTATTGACATGTGGTGTAAACTACAACACAAGGACCAAATACACCAAAGCGTCAACACAAGGACAAATATAGTTATGTAATTCCAGGGTTACAATCTTTTTAGCACTAATTATATGTACTGTAGGGTTGCTATCTTTTTAGCACTAATTATATGTAATTCCAGGGTTACGATCTTTTTCGCACTAATTATATGTACTGTAATGCTATTGACATGTGGTGTAAACTACAACACAAGGACCAAATACACCAAAGCGTCAACACAAGGACAAATATAGTTATGTAATTCCAGGGTTACAATCTTTTTAGCACTAATTATATGTACTGTAGGGTTGCTATCTTTTTAGCACTAATTATATGTAATTCCAGGGTTACGATCTTTTTCGCACTAATTATATGTACTGTAATGCTATTGACATGTGGTGTAAACTACAACACAAGGACCAAATACACCAAAGCGTCAACACAAGGACAAATATAGTTATGTAATTCCAGGGTTACAATCTTTTTAGCACTAATTATATGTACTGTAGGGTTGCTATCTTTTTAGCACTAATTATATGTAATTCCAGGGTTACGATCTTTTTCGCACTAATTATATGTACTGTAATGCTATTGACATGTGGTGTAAACTACAACACAAGGACCAAATACACCAAAGCGTCAACACAAGGACAAATATAGTTATGTAATTCCAGGGTTACAATCTTTTTAGCACTAATTATATGTACTGTAGGGTTGCTATCTTTTTAGCACTGATTATATGAACTGTAGGGTTACGATCTTTTTAGCACTAATTATATGTCTTACCAATGAGCCTATATAAACCAGGTACAGACTGAAGCAATACAATGTCTTCATATCCAATATATTGTAGACCATTGTAATGAGGAATCAGGAGAAGTTTGAAGCTTCACTGAATTCCTCTTACTGGCTATTTCCTTGGTAAATTATCTGTATTTTAATGATGTTTCATTTCTCATGTAATGTTCTTATAAAGAAAAGAGAGATCCATTAACACTCCTTATGTAGAAAATGTGGTAATGGTCTTGGGTGGATCCACAGGGGATTCACTATTGACGGGTGGATCCACAGGGGATTCACTAGTGACGGGTGGATCTACAGGGGATTCACTAGTGACGGGGGGATCCACAGAGGATTCACTAGTGAGCGGTGGATCCACAGAGGATTCACTAGTGACAGGTGGATCCACAGGGGATTCACTAGTGACGGGTGGACCCACAGAGGATTCACTAGTGACGGGTGGATCCACAAGGGATTAACTAGTGGTGGATCCACAGAGGATTCACTAGTGACGGGTGGATCCACAGGGGATTCACTAGTGTCGGGTGGATTCACAGGATTCACTAGTGACGGGTGGATCCACAAGGGATTCACTAGTGACGGGTGGATCCACAGAGGATTCACTAGTGAGCGGTGGATCCACAGAGGATTCACTAGTGACAGGTGGATCCACAGGGGATTCACTAGTGACGGGTGGATCCACAAGGGATTAACTAGTGGTGGATCCACAGAGGATTCACTAGTGACGGGTGGATCCAGAGGGGATTCACTAGTGACGGGTGGATCCACAGGGGATTCACTAGTGACGGGGGGATCCACAGAGGATTCACTAGTGACGGGTGGATCCACAGGGGATTCACTGGTGATCCTTACTATATTATTCCCCTCTATGCAATATTCTAATAACATTTTGTTCGTGTTTCAGATTTGAATGAGAGACAGGATCAGAACTTGTGAGCTTTTCGTGGATGAATGATGCTGTTCAGGAATGGATGAGTTTATTTATGAGGATGTAAGGACACAAACAGAGATCTGTGTTTACATGCAACTGCAGTTGCATTGTCTCTTAAAAGTATCAGTACATATAGGATAGTACTTCTGTATCAAGCTATAAATACCAAGGACTTGTTTATAACAGTGGATGGATTTTATGAACAATGTGTAACTGACGCTCCTTTAGTAAACTATTCACTTGTTGGATTAAAACAATATATGTATGAGATTTAAAACTTTTTTTGAAATCCCTTAATCCACTGTGCACAAGTAGATTTTCCAAGTAATATGTTTCAAGTGCGTTTTTGTAATGTGTTTTTAACTTTGTTTTGTGTGTAATATTTGTACACTGTACATGTCATTATTCTGTTAAATAATGAATTGAAATAATTCCTATGATAATGAATAAATGTTGAATGTAGAACTGATCCAATTTCTTATCTTCATTATTAATTTGCAACCTACTGTTTTATTTAGAAAACAGATAAACACAAAGAATATTCAATGCCTATTCTTGATGTACTGTACAGTAGTAAACTATTTTGTAATGATGAAGACCTTTTTTTCATGCTTTATTTTTGAGTTACACTTAAGCTTCCTTTTGAAAATACATGAAGAAACAATGATTTCAATTATGTCTCCCCCTACAAATGAAGGGAGACATTGTACTAGTACTGGTTCTTCTTAATCTAATTTAATTTGGGTACTAACTTTGAACTGTAAATGAAACCTGAGGAATACCTGCATTATCACCAGGAGGTGTGTAGCACAATAATTACCGGTAGGTCATGATCACCATGACCTTCACCTCAAGGTCAAATAATTTAGTGCAGACTTTCCAGTAAACCTTTGTCTGGACCATTTTTTTAAACTGTTAAAAACACTGATAAATTGAGAGTGTACCTGCATTACAGATGGTGTGCATGCACTAGAGTTAGGTCACTGTGATTTTGACCTCTAGATTAGAGGTCAAATAAAAGTGCAAGTTTTCCAGCAAACCATTCAAGATATTTGTATGAAACTTGACCAAAACCTGCACTAGAGAGTTTGCAGTGCACTATATTTCCGTTAGGGGACATTATTTCTACCTCAAACGTTATGTTACATCTTGAACTGAATGTTAAATAAACACACACTGTGTTCTATTTAGAAGGGGATTGTGTATCCCAGACAACAAAGATCGGGTGTATGTATACTATACATGTAACTGGCTTGTCTGTAAACACAAGTTAGTCCCCACTACTCCCCCTGAAAGTTAATTCAACATCCTTATGCAAACCAAAACAGAACATCAGATTGAGAGGTTGGGGAGAGGCAAGAATGGTGGCTAATGACAAATAAAATTGAAAAGTTGTCAGGACATGTGCCAAAAGCATGAAGAGAATAGGTGACTCCTTCTAAAGAGTTGCATCAATTTTCGTGAAATTTGTATCGTTGCATAGACATATACGCCAATCATGTAAACCTTCATGTGAGAGCATCATGTTGTTTACATTATATAAAGAGAGGTTTTATTGTCTAATTTACTTACAAACTAAACCTTGTCCAGTCTATAAGATTGATTTCGCAGAAACTTGCAAACTTTTTTCCTATCATTTCAACGTGTGCATTTGTAACTGCGATGTTGTCACACCCGTCAAATGAAGTTTAACTTATGATAATGACTCATACCCATCACATAAACTATACATACCCATCACATAAACTATATACATACCCATCACATAAACTATACATACCTATCACATAAACTATATACAAACCCATCACATAAACTATACATACCCATCACATAAACTATATACATACCCATCACATAAACTATACATACCCATCACATAAACTATATACATACCCATCACATAAACTATACATACCCATCACATAAACTATATACATACCCATCACATAAACTATACATACCCATCACATAAACTATATACATACCCATCACATAAACTATACATACCCATCACATAAACTATATACATACCCATCACATAAACTATACATACCCATCACATAAACTATATACATACCCATCACATAAACTATACATACCCATCACATAAACTATATACATACCCATCACATAAAATAAAGCATGTATGACCACCAAGTTGTTCCATACAATTAAATGTACTTGTAATTCAACTGAAATTTTGCATATGAACCTGTGTGTGTTACTGCCTTCTTAAAAAAACCTATTAGAGAGAAATGGCTGTTGATATTATTAGCTCATCTGGTCCAAAGGACCAAGGTAAACTTATGTCATACTGTGGCATCCGTCCGTCAACAATTTCTTTAAACGACTTCTACTTCTTAACCACTGAATTGAATTTAACTAAATTTGACTGGAAGCATCCCTAGGTGATCGGGATTCAAAATTGTACAAATGGTGGGGCTGAACCCCCAGGGGGCTGAGGGGCGGGGCCAAAAGGGGGCAATTTGGCTTTATTGCTTTAAGCGACTTCTTCTCTGGAACTAAGAGATGGATATCAACGGTTGAGATCCCCAACCCAAAACTGTATATACAAATGCTAGGCATAAAGAGACAAATGCAGTCATGATATTATACTTGATCTTGGGGTCTGGCCACAACCCTAGGGACCTAGTTTCTGAGTCGCACCTTGGAAACAGTTGAGATCCCCACCCCATAACCATACATAAAATTTCTGGGTATGAAAAATCTAATACAGATAGGATACATGGATTGCCCTTGGGGTCTGACCCATTCCTTTGGATCTTATTTGGAGAATATTTTGCCATGATTGCTTTGATATCCAGGTGAGCGATATAGGCCCTCTGGGCCTCTTGTATTGATATTATTATTTTGTAATATATGCATGCACATCCTCCCTAATATTAGAGTGTGATTTTGTTTCATACAGTTCTCATTGGCATGAGTAATTACAGAATTAAACCTGAATATACTCTCTCATCAACCATTGAATGTGAACAGGGAGGATAAGGCAGCAGATTTGTTATGGAGGATATATACATCTGGCATCAGTTTAGTCTCTCAATAGCATGCTTCAATTACCAGCTATACAATGTAAAATGTCCAGTGATTCCAACATTGACATCAACTAGTCCCCACTGTACTGTATACTAAATAAATATATAGTGTATCTGTGTTATCCAGAAACTTGTGTAATCCGAATGATATATACATTAGCTAGCTCTGGTCATTTACATGTGTTTGTGATTAATTTTGATAATGGTAGTTTATTGACCGGTTCCACTGAGACATATTTATTGCTTAAATTGCACAGTATAGCAGTTGTAAGTGACAGACAAGGATAAATATAGAAACAAAACAGTACTTGTATAATATTTATTTTCATATAAAAGGTTCATTAAACATATGTACAACTTAACTGAAAACCTGATTTCAGATATGTGTCGGGATTGTAATCTGCTCCTATTTAACATTTACAAATAAACAGAAAATGAAGTACATGTAGTATAAAGTGTCATTAACACATAAGTAAGTGGCCACCTGTCCATTTGTTAATATCTATACTAAATCAAAAATATCTTTCAAAATAATTTTAAAAAGACAAATGGACCTGGTCAAGTTTACATTGGTATGCACTGCAGTCAAATGCTGTAAAAACAGTAAATGTATACCATGTGTCTTTTAAACTTAACAAATATTTTACATGATGTACCAGTAGTTTTAAAAGCTGAACAAATCTGATGTATTTCAAAAAATACACCTATCACAGTTTGAAGATCAGCACATATAAGTAGATGTTTCCACTTCATAGATATTCAAACAACAAACTGATGCACTTTTTTGGAATTCATAATGGTTTCTTCTTAAAACTGTTTGTCTGTTGGTATTGTTGCATTTTATGTTGTTCTACTGTAAGAGTGACCTCTTTATCATGTCTTTCCTGTCTGGTGTTAGGGATGTGGGGAATTCAATGTCAAATTCTATCACTAGGTCTCCCTTCTGTGATGGGCTTTGTGAAATTGGCATTCCTTCTCCTGGGACTCTCTTTGTGTATCCAGGCCTGTTTATAACAAGGGAAACATTACTCAGCAACATTTCAAAACAAAGGCTAGTTCCTGTTTGTAGCAACTCATTAAATGGTGTGAAATCTTGTTGCCTCTGACACTTTGCTTTTTAGAAAAAAAGTCAGAAAAAAAATCAAGATTAGTGACAAATTGTCCAGAAAGTGATTTTTTACTAGGCAATAAGTTTGCATCATATACTTAGTACTGAATAGTGGGAATTAAATACTAACAAGGTTACTGTACACTAATTACTGCTTTACAGCAAAGATTGTAACATCTACTTAGTGTCAAAAAGATAACCTGACTAAGTGACTGTGATCTGTACTGGGTAGGAATCACAGGACCACAATAACAAATTACATTTACAGTAATACCATATGCTTACACAACATTCCTTTTTCAAAATTAGTGAAAAAACAAACAAACAAAACGTAAAGGCAGTGATATGTTTTGCCTAGTTTTACAGCCGATTACAGGCTGTTTCCCCTGGCTAAAAAGTGCTCTATTTTCCCAAAATAAAAATAAAAAATCAGGAATATCTTCACAATTTCAATAAAATAATGCCAAATTTTTCCGATTCATGTAGGAACAGATTGTTGTAAAATTTAGGTTGAAAAATCACTAAGGATACGATATTGCAGCCTACACATGTGTAGATGTATATCTAAGTGATCTAATTATCAGCACTTAGGTAGCAGTGTACAGTAGAAATGACTTGACCCTAAAAATAAAGGGCATGTCTGAAAACCCGTCTGAAATTAAATACCGCCTAATCAGTAACAGAAATACTCACGTTTAAGCAAAGGTCATTCCGGTGGATTTTTCACAATATTTACACATGTGCCGAGTACAAAAATAGACTACATGCCAGGCTAGCTTTTGTTGTGTAGACACAGATTTGTAAATGCCCAAAACTAGTCTCAAACCAAATTCGATTTTTTTTTTTTTTAATTATGAAGCCCACATAGTCCTCTTCATCATGTATATGCCAATTTTCTGCTGATTTTTTTAAAATGTTGATACCTGTTATTCATTGTATAAAAATATCACCCATGGCCATTGTACGCTACTGTACACTGCTACCTTACTGATTTTACTCTTGGAGACAACTTACTTGATGATGTCGTTGATGGGGATGTGTAGTACCCGCTCATCCAGAGTGTTAATTTCCACATCACACCCTGTGAGAGCCTTACCAAGGGGCACCTTGGCCGTGTGGACAAGGTTCACACCATTGCGTCGGAACCGAGGGTGAGGTTTGTCCTTTACAATGAATACAATGTCAGCTGCAAAAGGAAGAATTTAATATATTCGAAGATATTTTTGGACTGAGTATAATGCAGAGCAGAGCAACTTTGTCCTTTCTTCATTTGATTAATTTTTAAAAGAGACACACAAAATGTTTTTTATCATAATAACACTAACTAAAAGAACAAAGTATGCTAACATTACGGCCAGGTCATGATCCTTGGTAGCATTTATCGACTGAATTTTGTATTTTAAAGCAAATACTGGTTATTTGTAATGTTTGCTAAATTTTATAATTGAAACATATGTCAGTTCTTTTTCAAAACTGTATGTAACTACCCTACCTGGTACATTGTTTGGCCCCTGGTCACCTTCCTCAGGGAAAGTGATTTTTGTTCCAGGTTTCCAACCATTTTTCACTGTGATTGTTAGAATTTTGTCCCTAATGCTTGAAGTGTGGCCATCTTCATTCATAACCTGGAATATCAGTGTATTATACTTCAAACATCAGACTTAAAAGTAGATATATAAGTATATGAGAATGACATTATTATAATTATTGATAGGAGTAACATTCAGTAATAAGTGTATGGAAATATTACACATACCCGTCTTGAAATCTTCATTTTTTTGGTGCAACCATGGAAAACTTCTTCTAGTGACAAAAATAAGTCCCTCTCAATGGGAGGATCTTGCTTCTTGCGGCCTCTGCCCTGTAGGCCTCCAAAACCCATGCTAAGATCACCATCTACCCGGTCATAAAATTCTGTAAAGAATCAGAAAATGCATAAATAACACAACATTTTCACCCTTGCTTATTTCTACTGTTAGTTTAATACGTAGCTTATGTTATTTTAGCATAACATTAACATTTGGAATTAATAATTTAACACTGCTTTATTAACATTTGGGTTATTTAAGTTCCATAAGAGCTCTAGAGATGAGAGCTAGTTTTGTTGATGCCATAAAGTGTTAGCGATAAAATAGTTGATACGCTGAAGTGACCTCATATGGAAAAAGTGAAATATATATTTCGAAATCAACATAACTGATATAGGTGTCACATTCCAAAAAGGTTTTGCAAACATTGCTAGATGTTACCTTGATATGGATTACTGCCTCCAAAGAAGTCTCTGAACACTTTTTCAGCATTGCCATGGAATGTGTATCCTTGAGTCCATGCACCAGTTTCTCCACTCCCCTCGGGCACGCCATTCTTTAAACCTTCTTCTCCAAATTGATCATACACTGCACGCTTTGGAGCTAAATCAACACATTATTTGGTGATACAACAGTACTTCCATGGCAATAAATACACAATTCATTAGTTTTTCTAGAGGAACTTGCAATAACAGACAAATTTTGAATCATGTTTCTTAAGTACTGTTATATAATGTATCAGCAGAAATTTTAAAGCTTGACCAATAAATTCATAAGATCATTGCTACTTTCTATACATTTATATGTGATGACATCTATGTTATAACCTAAATTTCTAATATTGTCCAGCTAACCTAAATTTCCAATATTGTCTAGCTTTAAATTAAGACTTACGGTCACACAATACATCATAAGCCTCTGCCACCTGCTTGTATTTGTCATATGCTACTTGATCTCCGGGATTTTTATCTGGATGGAAACGTAGTGATAGCTTTCTGTATCTGTAAATCAAAAAATACACATTTTAATATTTAGTGGTGGAGAACCTCTTATATGATATATTAAGTAACTTCACAAAACACAGAAACTTGCCCCACATTAGATAGTATTAAAGTAAGCCACCCCTGTCAGCTTGACTACGATACAATATAATTTGTTTAAAGTCAGATTTGATAAAAAAAAATCCAAAAGCGGTCCTGAAATGCTCAGATGCCAAAAACATATAAATGCAACTTGTAACTTATTTCCCTGATTTGTAAGAAATATTTACCCTCCTGGTAGTACAATGATTGATTTTATCATTTACATGTATTGTATCAACACTTAATATGTCTGCTGCAATTTGTTTGTGAGTTACCATGGATAGCCTTATACATTGGCATTGGTCAAACTTGTATTTCTTTATCAATAGCCATCCATTATTGCCTGATGCTTGGCTTTTCAAATTTTGACAGTATCTTTATTGTCACGCTACCTAACATTACATGTGGCAGCATTTCCCATACCCGCTGACGACCACATCACAGTCAGCCGTCCCAACACACGACGAAACAACAGTCAGAAACTAAAACAGATATCGTGCAACACTGAAAAATACAGACAATCCTTCTTCCCACGTACACTAACTGATTGGAATGCTCTAAAAGAATCCTCCATCAGCGCAACTACGGTCGACCAATTCCGTAGTAGCCTCAAAAACCAAATTTTACTCCACTCCTCCTCCCCGGATGTGATATTCAATTTATGAATTTAACCGGAACCTTACAGATACAGATACATGTGCAACATTTATACTCAATACAATTGTAGATTCTATCTTAGTTGTATGTTATTATGTTTATAGTGAGAAGTTTTCAAAATATTGAAGTAGTCTTCCCTACCATTATAGTAGAGTGATTACAGTGGAGAGGAACAGGTCATATTTTCACATATTTACTTACATATCAGACGCACATGCCTCTGACGATATTGAATAAATTATGCCTGCGATACAGTTCCAAAGCATACAACCAAGATAGAATCGTGCCAAATATTAGTAAACTTAACACCAATACGTGTGTAAAATATCATCTCTGTCTGATCAACATTGCGACAGTAGTGTTTGTTTACATGGTTTCGAAAATACTGTTACAGTTATGCTTAATTTACGATATATTCAAAACCAAACACCTCTTCTTTTCAACTTACTGTTTCTTGATTTCAGCATCGGTTGCACTCCTAGATATATCGAGGATGTTGTAATAATCTACCCCCATTTTTACGTTTCAGTGGCTGAGACTCGTGAAACGTTATTGAAATAATGGCGTGTATCGCCTGGCAACAGTAAACATTGAGCTGTGCCTTATTGACTAGCGGTAGTTTCGTATATAATTGTTTTCGTATATATAAAGACGTTTGATAGAATTTTATCATAATGGGTCTTGAATTAGCTACGCTTATTTGATTTAAATATTTACATATCTCTTATATTTATTTCCTTAAAATATTTGTTTTCAAATATATACGAAAATTCAATGGTGAAAACAAGGACATATATATCTCCGAGCAACAATATCAAACAATATGGCCGCGTCGTAATGAATACACTGAACGGCAAGGAAGATTGATGGAAAGTGTTGACTTTTGGATTATTTGACGCACGTTGTTATCGTCATCTATTCGAAGGAATGGAAGGGGATAAATGTGGCGTTCGGATTACGCCATCGGTGCTAGAATTTTATGATGCCGAAGTGAACACCGTGCATCAACTAAATGTCACTGTCAAAAACACGAGTAAAACCAGCAAAAGCATTCGTTACTATGGTCCAAAATCTAAGGTGAGTATTTAAGGCTGTATTGAAGATTTCACAAATAATTTTGGCTAATGATGTTGAAATCATCTTTACTGATGAGTAAAAGATTTTTTTTAAACTACAGTAAGCTGGACTGCAACATTTTGGTCCTTTGCATTATCATTGATGCTGATGCAGTAAGCAGGAATTTTGCCATTTTACCTTGTACTAAGTTCTACTTTCTTAAATATTGAATAAGATATTTCAACGTTCAGAGATGTTTGTGTGATTTTTTTTATTTGTTGTTGCTAGATCTAAATGCAATTTACATGTGCATAGATCCTTACTCAGCACTATTGTACTTATAATCAAGGTTAACGTATAATGCAGTACTGTAGTCCTTTTAGAGTTGGCATCAATTTCCATATCCTTTTAATTCAGAAGTAGAGGTGGGAGAAGGCAGCCCAGCCTTTGCTGAATATGTTCAATTTTACAGGTTTTTGGACACCATTATATATGCATATTTGCAACTGGCAAACAGTGGTTTCCCTAATATACTACGAAGTATAATTTTGATTTGAAAAAAAATGAAATAAGGATAGATTGTGGGGAAATCATAAATTTTATGCAGCTTGACAATATACCACTTATTTTACACGTCATAGTGAGTCTGATCTATGAGGTAATTGACTGTATTGATACTTAAGGAGATAACTTCTGGCACTATAATTTAAGACCATCCAGCAGATTTTCAAAGCCTTTCAATGTGATGGCTATCGCTGATAGATTACAGTATAAGTGTACTTTAAATTATGTTGTAAGCAGATGCAATGAATAAGCTACTATAGTCTACTAGTTTCGCGATACATACTTCCCTGTAGTATATATAAAGAGTTATTCCAGGCCAACACAAGCAACTTCAATAAAAAAACAATGCTTAAAAAAACCCAATAAAACATCTGATCTACCTTATGACCATTAGAAATAATTGTGTGATGTCAACAATGATGATGTATGTAGAAAATGACATTTGTACTAGTTTTGGATGGTTTGATGAAATGTTTTCGCATTTAATTTAAATTAAATAATAATTATTTTTTTCTTCTCAAGACAACAGTTTAAGGTCTTTCTGAAAATCTATTTTATCAACATACGGAGAGCTGGATTGCAATTCATATCTTACAGGTAGTTTTCATACAAGTAGTTTGCATATGATTGTGTTAAACAAAGTTATGAAAAACATACCCCAAATTTTCATTGTGGGTGACGTACTGTGATGATGTAATTATGTGACTGATTTTTGTTAATTTTGAATTTACAATCATATACCACTTGTGTTTTCAGTATTTTCAGTTAAAAGTAAGGAACCCAAACAAGCCTGTAGCACCTGGACTATGTGTGCCAGCTGTTATAGAATTTGAAATCAAAGAGGAGAAGGAAGTAACAGACAGACTTGTAGTCACTGTAGACGGAGATGTGATAGAAATTCCTCTGGTTGCGTAAGTAAAACATTGTCCATATAACACAAAACAGTTTCACAATTCATTGTGAGAAATTGATTTTATTATTGATATTGTAATATACTACCAATAACAGCGAGTCATAATTAGAAATTTGAATCCTAAGATATTGTATACAAAGTTTCACTTCAGAATTGTCATATGCTATATATATCCATTTTACAACATTCAGAATTGTCATATTTCATCCATTTTACAACATTCAGAATTGTCATATTTTATCCATTTTAGTATTTTTACAACAATATTGTATAGAAATGTTGTTTTAAAGCTTATTCTAACCTCATTTTTTCCCAGATATCCACCCCAACCGCTACTTGAAATAGAGCAAGTTGTAAACTTTGGAAATCTAGTGGCTAACAGTAAGACAGTATCGCACGAGATATCCCTGGTAAACCACGGGTCAAAGGCAGGAGACTTCAAGATCAAGTACAATGGGGACAAACCTATTGCTATCATGCCCAGCAGTGGTTCTGTACCCCCTAAAAGTGTCCAGATGATAAAGGTACATATTTTCATGGATATACATGTGTTGTAAAAGTACCGTAATATGTGTATCATATGCTAACTGCGATATACATTTTATTTACCCAGTCCCACACATGTTATGTAATAGTAGTGTGATATCTGATATATATTTGTTGTAAGTATTGTGTCTCTGACAGCCACTATTTAAACTTTGTCAATAAAAACAATCAACCCATTTTAATTTGTTCATATGAGTTTAATAAGTTAAATCTGTTATGATCAAGATATTTTGGATACATGTTGAAATTAAGTATTTGTTGCTTACATAAAGCAATTGTTTAGATGTTGTTTTATGGCTGACATCCTCAGTTGAGGCTTCCATTACTCGTGTGTTAAGTACACTGTCAGGATTGAGGGTCCACACTGGTGGTCAGTCACTTTGCCTTTCCCTCTTCACTCACACCTAGCGTGATGCTCTTGCTGCTCCTTAGTAACGTTTTCTTCACTGTTTTTTTGCTACAGTAGCCTTTTATTCCTAATGCACAATAACATTTGTTACACAGGCTAGCTGTACAGGAAAGCCTCTGCAGCCAATATCACTGGATAGCTCTATGGTTACCATCACTGCACTCTACAAGCAATGCATTTCTTTCATCCCTGGTAATCACCATACCATGTCTAGCCTGAGATTATTTGGTACTGTCTGTGTAACTGGAAATTTCAATATTTCCTTCTGGTTGATGCCCTACTCAAGCTTCTGGTTGATGCCCTACTCAAGCTTCTGGTTGATGCCCTACTCAAGCTTCTAGTTGATGCCCTACTCAAGCTTCCAATCCCCTGCTTGGTTAAAAATCCCAGAAGTTTGTTCTATCTTTTACCTGCTGTCTTGTGACTCTTGATATCATCCTTCTCCACAGATTGGATTTGTGTTGGTTTTCACATTAGTTGCTTTGGTTTGTTCTTCAGTTCCCTCTTGGCCTTATCTGCCAGCTCCCTTAATACCCATATACCTAGTTGTGACACTATGTACGTACCTCTCCTGAGAAACAGCAATGTAACATGAAGATAGGATGTTACCTGAGGTTCCTCTCTTCCCACTGAATTGGCAGTCAGTGTCTCTGCTAGGTTCCATCTTTGCAGGTTTTCTGGTTTTATTAGCAAGTCATACACACATTGAAAGAACTGAAGCTGGAATTGTGGATACTTCCAAATGTAAGCAAAAGAACAAAATTTAGCTTGTTCATCCTCTTTGGACTTAAGAAACCAAATTCAACTTTTTAGCATGTCTGTTCTTCTTTGGATGAGATTTCTCTTTGGACCATACTCCTTGTTTTTGCTGCATCAGAACTTTTTCCAATAGCAGCTCTCAGTAGAATCTAGTCCTTGCTGCCCTGTTGCTATTGTTCCTAAAACATCTGGAAGGGATACCAGATTTCAGTTTCATCAACTACTTGAGATGCTGACTACTTCTGGCCTGGCCATACTGCCAGTTTGGATAGCCTTTTCTTGTCATGTTTGGAACCTTTTCCTGGGAGACCTGCTTTGTTGATGTGCATTCTCCACTAACTTTTTGTCTAAGTTTGTGATGACTTTGCCAGCGTATCATCACACATGTTTGTACCACTTCCCTAAGCATTGATTGTATAATTTGCACACAGTATAGTTGTTATGTGATTTATTTCAGGTTGAATATGTTACAAAACAAGCAGGAACATTTGAAGAAGTTGCAAAGTAAGTATAATGAATTAATGTCTTTCTGGCTAAAATCATACAGAAGGAAGAAAAATGTGAAATATTTCTTAAACACTACTTTTGAGGTTGTATATATATATAACAGAATATCTATATTGGTAGTTGTAAAAAACAAAACAAAAATATTTGTATAGATTTTTTTGTCTAGAAACTGCTGCCGTATGTTTGATCTTCCCTTTTGAAATTACAGGGTCAAACTTGAAGGGAAGGAAACCAAAAACCTTGTGATAACGGGACAGTTAGTGGACAGAACACTGGAGGTTTTGGCTGTGAACACACGGCAGCCAATAGAATGTGTTCGCTTTGGAAGCACTTACTATGGTTCTGACAAGACAGAGTGTGCTCTACTGTTCAACAACGGACCAGAACCTATCAATTTTGTGGCTGTTTTGGACGAAGATGCAGTTGCACAGGAAATGGTAATAAAGCTTGTTTTCTTTCAAATTTTGAACAAATCCTTGGATATTTTTGTGAAAATTAAACCTGCATGTTAAAAAAGAGTCATTGAAGTGATTGATACTTGAACTCAGAGTCTCACAGTACTTCTTTGGTCATACAGCAATAATCAAAGATTCACACAGGCTACTTCTTTACCTGATCAGTGTGTAGCGTTCTATTCTAGCCTGGAAGTATTGTTGATATGAGTATGGTACCCACAGAAGACATGTGGCAGGTCTTAGCCTGAAAATATAAGTGTACATAATTAAGTAGTATCTATACAGTATTTATGTTTATCTAAAAGACTGTGCTTTTTATGACAAAATACATACATTAAATATTCTTCCTGCTAAATTAACATTTGGTGCTTACCCAGGGTGTGGACCTGACCAAGAGTACTGTGGATGCTTTGGCCGATCAAGGTTCAGACAGTGCTGAGAAACCTCAAGGCAGAACAAACGTACTGACCTCGCTGATCACAGCCATCCCCAACCAGGGCACACTGCAGCCCTACGAAAAGATACCAGTATTCTTCAGGTTTAGTCCAAGGTGAGGAAAAAACATTCACTTTTATCATTTTTTCATCCTAGCCAACCAGAGAGCCACAATTATTGTAAGGGATATCAAATACAACATATCCTAGTGATCTGATTGTGACATTATAATCAAATGGTGTGGACATTTTTGTTGGTGTACCATGGCTTTCAGTACAAGTTTGGACACGTACCAATGTTATACATTGAGGATAACAGTTAATGTATTAAAACTTTTGGAGTGAACATTTTTTATGTATGTGTTGTGTCTTCTGCATGTATCATTGTTATGTTTCCATCACCAATCAGTGTTTTGTTGTCTGTCCTGTGTATCAGCGTTGTGTTTTGTTGTCTGTCCTGTGTATCAGCATTGTGTTTTGTTGTCTGTCCTGTGTATCGGCGTTGTGTTTTGTTGATATTCGTGTCATCACTATTATAACGCTAAAGGTTACAGGAGTTGATTACGTTTATGTTATCCTTCTTTGTTTCCAGATGGAATGCCTCCAAAGAGGGATGGAAGGGACAGAAAAAGCCCCCACCCAGGAAGGACTTTGCCCTGTTTATGAGGATTCAGATTGTAGGATCAAGTACAGGATTTAGTGCCAAATCCCCTACTAAATATGCAGATGGTAAGTACAAACCTGGTTCTAAGACTTCTAGTTTGCTTTATTATAACTTCCTTACTGCATTAATCTAAAGGACTGTGTTATACAAGTGCTGCTATATAACGATGTATTACTGTCATGACAGGTTCGTTTGTGGAGGTAGCCCTTACTGGTACAGCCTTACCTGTACTGTTGTCTGTGATGCCATCCCTGAAGTATGACTTTGGAGAGTGTCCTATTGGAGAACACGCTGATGTCCTGTGTACCATTAAAAACGAGTCGACTGATCTGGCCACTACATTCCAGTTCAGGAGGGTGGCTCATTTTTCCACACATCCACCAAGTGGGAAGATTCCACCAAACCAGTCTCAGGATGTTATATTCTCCTTTTCACCAAAACAAATTGGTATGTTTATCCCATTTTTTTCAGAAGTTTTGTTAAAGGGATGAGATTCCAGCTTATCTTTGGAAAGCTATTGTTGTAAGGCACAACAATTTTTGAACTACAAACTGTCAACGTCACTGCTTAATCGAATTTCAGTTTCTGTACAATGCCTTGTCCATATAATACTCAAACTGCATACATAGATTGATTATGAAGAGGACAGGTTATTTATGTGTAATACGTTGTGATTTTAGACAATATCAAGGTATTGTCATCATTGACAGTAACATTCAGTTTACACCATCTCGTGTAGCTTTAGGTATACATGTCTCATAACAAATTTTGATTCATTTCTTACTGGCTTGTGCTGTTTTAAATTGACATCTAGTCAAACTCCAGCCTGGTTCTATGCGTTGTAATGTTATGTTTCCATTATCTCTCTGACTAGGTGGGTTCAAGACAACCCAGATGCTGGATGTGATTGGACAGGTGGCGGACAACCAGAATCCGACAGTGGTCAACCTACAGGTGATCAGCTCCTTCCCCCTCACGTTCCTCGGCAGTAGTGACCCTATCTTCAAGAAGAAGCAGCCTAAGTACAACCCAGGTACTCCTGTTTAAATATACAGTGAAACCTTGTTAATTTGGACCCTGATATCCCAATCTCATATTGAGGAACAACTTTAGTATGAGAATCCCTGTTTCATTATTTTGCAAAGACTTTTAGTATGGGGGTTTTCTGATCTACCTGGTCCCATCCACTTAGCAGGATCTAGCATTCAGATAACAAATTTGACAAACTATCACATTTAGATATTAGAGTCATATATTTGTCACATTCCCTTCAAAGGTTTTAGTACTTGCTTCAAATTCAGATGTTTATATTTACAGACAAACATTGTTATTAGGAAGTTGGATATCTGAGGTATTCTTTTTTCAACCACAACAAAAAGTTGAATATTCTCCCCATGCAGTGATTTCTTTGTATTTTAATTTGTAAAAACTGGAACACCTCAAAAATCTTGAAGTTTTGTTATTTCCTTAATGAATGACTTTTTTTTATGAAATGTCACTTTAAAAACGTTTCTGACATTTGAGCAACACTGTTGGTTTGTTTGTTAGGTATCACACCTTACATCAGCAATGAGGTGGGTATGTTTGTGGATACCACATTCTCCCAGCTAGACGAAAACCCCAGGAATGCTGTAGCAGGGGGACTAAAGCCTGGACTCCATTCTTTGAAAAACATTGATCCCTTAGACAAGGATGCACGAGTGTCATTCCCTAACGACAGGGCGACTAGTATTCGGCCCAGTGAGAGGGGCGAGACCTATAAGTGAGTTCACCTGTTTGTTTCCTGTAATGGCTAAATTAGATATAACTGTTTGAATTTTATGGACAGTATGTCATGCTCTAGTATTCAATTAGAATATGATTAATGTAATTACTTTTAGTTTACATTTTTTTTGTGAATTAACTAAAACTTTAAAATGATAACAAATATTGGTGAACATATAGAATGTGCACTGTGTGTTGTAAATGTGATAACCTACCATAGTACATGTATCTGAATTGGTTTTTAAAGTTTAGTTTTACGGTAAACATTCTGACTGCATGCTAGCTGTAGAAAGTAGTGTTGGCTAAAGCTTGTTTAATCCTGGTCTCGCTTCTTTACAGAACTATATTTACTAAGACAAAACGTCATAACTATGTAGACCCTGACTATGCCCTGAATCTCTCTGAGGAAGCCAACAAAGTCAACCATCGTAACAGCTATGTTGGCATGCTTCGTCAAATGAGGCAAAACCGTCTCAATCAGATTAAGTCCAGGTAATACTGATCAGGTTTGGTATAACATTTATTGTAACTAAATTATTTGTTTAAAATATTTGACAAATTTTAAAAATTCACCTTAAAATTCCTGCTCATTTAAGAAATGGAAACTTATAGAAACATTCAATAGAATGTGTAAATGTACAACATTATAAACTATTGAATATGATATATCATATATATACATATTACAACTAATATTTCTTGATAAAATACTAAGCACAATAAATATGTAATTTGTGTTACAGTAGTATCTGGCCTTTAAATACAGCATTTTTTAAGTTTTAAATTTCTTATTTACAATATTGCAGAGAGTTTAAAGACACCAACAATAAACTGGATATAGGAATCAAAACTGCTGCCGGTCTAAGGCCAAAGCGTCTTACACAGATGGAGATCATACCTGACCCTAGGAGTGAGTACATTCTCTGTCATCATCCTAGCTCACTCATGTTACACTCATAGCTTCACTCATCATCCCTGACCCTAGGAGTGAGTACATTCTCTGTCATCATCCTAGCTCACTCATGTTACACTCATAGCTTCACTCATCATAACTGCAAATAAAGGACCTACAATTGACAATATCTTTTCATGTGAGTACCTCTTAGAATGGTGGAGTGTTCCTGACTAAAATCGGCTCTCCTGCCTATATACAGAGTTATGACCCTTTGTTCATTGTGTATCGCTTTTTCAGTGGTAATCATGTATGCTATGCCCCCTACAACTACCAAATATTGTATGTGAGTATTTCTTGGGATTGTTAACTGCTGATGATGAAATAGGGTCTAATGTCACACTTATTACAGAGTTATAGCCCTTTGTTCGTTGTTCTTATATTGAAGTTTGTCTAGAGTACCGCATCGTTTTATTTCAGTAAAAATGTATTTTGATCATTTATCACCAGTATTTTCTGTAAAGGTTTTCCTTAAAATCCTATACCCGACTTATCAAAAATATAGGTATCATTATAAGTAGTGAATGTGACATGCAATAATTAAGTTGTAATGTTTATTTTAAATTCAGGTCCCACCCCACCAAATGCAGACTTTAAACTCTTGAGTACAAAGGAACTGTCTACTGCGGAAGCTGAAACTCTTACTAAAGAGGTAAGGTTACCTTCCTTTAATATAATTAACAGCTGCTGGATAAACAACTGACATCAGCTTAAAATATTACTGGTAATGTATTTTATTGTTATCTGCATTTGGTTTTGGAAGAAAATGTTAAAACTTGTTTTGTAAATAGTGTTTAGTGCATTGATCCCAGAGGTTGGTACTCTGAGTGGTATAATCTATGAGCACTGTTGTGATGTTGTATATAGTCAAGTCTGGAATTGTTTATATTATGTTTAGGCATGTGAAGGTCTGAATGCTGTACCCACAACTAAAAAGGAGAAGCTCGACTGTTCTAAGTGTCTGTCTCCTCAGCAGCTGCACCAGATTATCATAGGTAAGTAATGTTATCTGTTAACCAAGGTTATCCTAGGTAAGTAACGTCATATGTTAACCAAAGTTATCCTAGGTAAGTAATGTCATCTGTTAACCAAGATTATCCTAGGTAAGTAATGTTATCTGTTAACCAAGGTTATCCTAAGTAAGTAATGTCATATGTTAACCAGTTATCCTAGATAAGTAATGGCATCTGTTAACCAAAGTTATCCTAGGTAAGTAATGTCATCTGTTAACCAAGGTTATCCTAGGTAAGTACAGTCATCTATTAACCAAAGAGTAACCTAGCTAGGTAAGTAAAGTTAGTTGTTGTGTTAACCAAAGGTTATCCTTGTTCAGTAAGGTTAGTTAGCCAACGATTATCATAGATAAAAGAGGTTATCTTTTATGTCTATCACAGATTACTGTATAGCTAAGTGAAGTTATTTATAGTGTTAACCAAAGAGTTAGTAAATTGCCTGTAATATCAATCACAGATTATCATAGGTAACAATCTACAATAATAGAAACATGACAATACTCCATTATTATTAATGTTGAATGAAAATCAACTGATCTGTTAATATTCATGATTACAATGTATACCCTTATGCCTGTGTTTTAGGTCCTCCCACCCTGGACTTCGGTCAGGTGTGTCTGCGGTCAGTCTGTACAAAAAATCTGGCCATCATTAACAACTTGGACACAAACATACACATTGTGGCAGAGGTAGGCTGTTCAATTCATTTCGTCAAATGTTATTTGAAGAAAATTTATTTGACAAACTTGTATTTTTTGACGACCTATTTCCAAATTACTTTAAATAAAAGGAGGATATTTCATTGGTTCTGTATTTACAGAAATTACTAACGGTAGAACCAATTTGTCCTTTTTCAGATTGACTGTCGGGAGCTGAGACAGAGCAGTCCATTGTCCCAAGTTGTTCCTCCCAAGTCCAAAGCTCATCTTCCGATAGTGTATGAATCCAACACTAAAGGAAAATTCCAGAGGTGAGGTGCTGTCTTATAGCTGGTAAACGTAGCCTGTGTCACATTGACTAGTATACGTAGCCTGTGTCACATTGCCTAGTATAAGTAGCCTGTGTCACATTGACTAGTATAAGGAGCTGTGTCACATTGACTAGTATAAGTAGCCTGTGTTACATTGACTAGTATAAGTAGCCTGTGTCACGTTGACTGGTATAAGTAGCCTGTGTCACATTGACTAGTATACGTAGCCTGGGTCACATTGACTAGTATAAGTAGCCTGTGTTACATTGACTGGTATAAGTAGCCTGTGTCACATTGACTGGTATAAGTAGCCTTTGTCACATTGACTAGTATAAGTAGCTGTGTCACATTGACTAGTATAAGTAGCCAGTGTCACATTGACTAGTATAAGTAGCCTGTGTCCCATTGACTAGTATAAGTAGCCTGTGTCACATTGTCTAGTATAAGTAGCTGTGTCACATTGACTAGTATAAGTAGCCTGTGTTACATTGACTAGTATAAATAGCCTGTGTCACATTGTCTAGTATAAGTAGCCTGTGTTACATTGACTAGTATAAATAGCCTGTGTCACATTGACTAGTATAAGTAGCCTGAGTTACATTGACTAGTATAAGAAACCTGTGTCACATTGACTAGTATAAGTAGCCTGTGTCACATTCGCTAGTATAAGTAACCTGTGTCACATTGACTAGTATAAGTAGCCTGTCTTACATTGACTAGTATAAGTAGCCTGTGTCACATTTACTAGTATAAGTAGCCTGTGTCACATTGACTAGTATAAGGAGCTGTGTCACATTGACTAGTATAAGTAGCCTGTGTAACATTGACTAGTATAAGTAGCCTGTGTCACATTGAATAGTATAAGTAGCCTGTGTCACATTCGCTAGTATAAGTAGCCTGTGTCACATTGACTAGTATACGTGGCCTGTGTCACATTGACAAGTATTCCTAGCCTGTGTCACATTGACTAGTATAAGTAGCCTCTGTCACATTGCATAGTATAAGTAGCCTGTGTCACATTGACTAGTATAAGGAGCTGTGTCACATTGACTAGTATAAGTAGCCTGTGTCGCATTGACTAGTATAAGTAGCCTGTGTCTCATTGACTAGTATAAGTAACCTGTGTCACATTGACTAGTATAAGTAGCCTGTGTTACATTGACTGGTATAAGTAGCCTGTGTCACATTGACTGGTATAAGTAGCCTGTGTCACATTGACTAGTATAAGGAGCTGTGTCACATTGACTAGTATAAGTAGCCTGTGTCGCATTGACTAGTATAAGTAGCCTGTGTCTCATTGACTAGTATAAGTAGCTGTGTCACATTGACTAGTATAAGTAGCCTGTGTTACATTGACTGGTATAAGTAGCCTGTGTCACATTGACTGGTATAAGTAGCCTGTGTCACATTGACTAGTATACATAGCCTGTGTCACATTGACTAGTATACGTAGACTGAGTCACATTGACTAGTATAAGTAGCCTGTGTTACATTGACTAGTATAAGTAGCCTGTGTCACGTTGACTGGTATAAGTAGCCTGTGTCACATTGACTAGTATAAGGAGCTGTGTCACATTGACTAGTATAAGTAGCCTGTGTCACATTGACTAGTATAAGTATCCCGTGTCACATTGACTAGTATAAGTTAAGCCCGTGTCACGTTAATTAGACATGCCATTTCATGTAGGGACCGGAACACCAGTTGTTGAAATGGTTTAATGAATAAATTCAAATTTCTCAACCTTTAAAATATTAATAAACACCAACATATATGATATTTTACTAATTCCAAATAAGTGTAAACTTTATCAATGTGCCTACAGGTCAGTGTCCTACACTGTCAATGGTCATTACAAGCACCATGTGACAGTTGTAGCAGAGGTAGTACCTGTAGCCCTGGACCTCTCCACCGAGGAGCTCATCCTTACGCCCGCATTTGGACTCCCAGCTGAAGCAGGTAATCATAACTACCTACTGTAAATAATAGGTAAATATGAATCATAACTACCTACTGTAAATAATAGGTAAAGACGAATCATAACTACCTACTGTAAATAATAGGTAAAAACGAATCATAACTACCTACTGTAAATAATAGGTAAAGACAAATTGTCAGTATTTTAAACAACAGGACTTCAAAGAATTTTAGTTTACCGCATTTTAAATCAGAAATGATATCAAAAATCTGTTTTAAGTATAATTTTCATTAATTGAATTAGGAAGACATTAAGAATTGACCAATTTCTGTGAATTACTTTCCTCTAACAATTATGTTTGAATTTGTTCCTCAGAGTTCCGTGGAGTGATTACACTATATAACAATCTCAATTACCCGGCTGAGTTTACGTGGGCCCCCAACCTAGGGGACAGAGGCACAGCTTTCTCTATCAGGCCAGCCACAGGTAGGTACAATCATAATATTGTGAAAACAGAGATCAAGGATATCTCTGATGTCAAATTAATCATGCTGGCACAATCTTACCCTCGTCAGAGTGAATGGTGTCCAACCTCTAGATTTCTATATACAGTAGACTTTAGTTATTAATAATAAACAATGAACAGTTCAGTAGTATAATTTTCTATATAAAACAGTTGTTAACTTAGAAGATTTACCTTTACTGTTTGTGACAGTTACCCTCTATGAATTCTAAGAGAGTACTGTCTCTGTAAATCACATGTGAGTATATTATAGATGATAATGTGAGTATATTGTCCTCCAGGAATCGTGGACGCCCACAAGGACTTGGACTGTGAGGTGGTGTGGCATCCCTCCTTCCTCGCCCCTGAGGATGGTTCCTTCTCTCTGATGGTACATGGTGGCCCCACCCTGCAGCTCCAATGTAAAGTCGAGGTCAGTAATAGTTGATCAGATTTCTGAAAATATGAAATAATAGAAAAAATGACCTTTGCATGTTCAGTCATACCAAAGACTTTCCCTGCCATACTGTATGAAGGAAAACACACCTTGTATCATTGATCAGTGCATTTTATTATGTTAGAGTTTTGCCTGGTTATGTTTCAAAGAAGTAGTAACATTTTATTAGATGGTCAAAAATACATACTGATTTTGGATTATAATATTTTACATGCTTGCAATTATCAAAGTTTTATGTTATTGTGTGCTCCAATTTGTTTACAGATGGGAACACCAAATGTCCAATTCATGGAGAGGAGGGTAATGTTTGGCCAGACGCCAATCAATCTGACCACAGTAAGAAGTGCTCTTCTGGCCAACACCGGTCAGCACCATGCCTACTTCCAGGTATGGCAACTCACCTTCAATCAAAGAGTGAAACTCATAAAATACTGAATTGTGTCAAAGTTCAGATGTAATGCATTATTTTTGTGAAGTTTAACGTTAAAATGTAATATTCCGTATCAATATTATTAGTTGATAATCATTTCTAAAGTGTTAATTGCTGATTTTTATACATTTTTCATATATTTGGACGTTGGCAATAATGTACCAGTCCTGTAATGTCAGGTTTTGTAGGTCTGCCTTTAAAATGCCTATAACATGCAGTATGTGTTTTGTGTTGGTAGGTAATCGACTCCAACCCGTTCCCCGGCCTGATGGTGACTCCCTTACATGGAGTGGTGCCTGTTGGTGGTCACGCTGAACTCAAAGTACAGTTGACCCCTTCAGCCATCCTCAAGTTTGACACAAAGGTTCAGGTGGCCATCAAGGGGGGTAAGGTGCTGGAGTTGAGGATGGGTGGCACTGTAGAACCGCCGACGGTGGACATAGACATGGTACGTAGCAACTTCACCCAAACTGGTACTCACATCATCAACCAAACTGGTACTCACATCATCAACCAAACTGGTACTCACATCATAAAAACTGTTACTCAAGTGTTATCATCATACAAACTGTTTTTCGAGTGTAATTGGTAGTTAAGGTTTTATAATCATTTTGTTTCTGTTACAGGACTCATTTAACTTTGGCGGTGTGTACTGTGGGTCTGGAGCTACCCTCCCATTCAAACTCGCTAACAAGGTCAGTGTTCTAGTACAGAATACCAACCAAACTAGTAACTGGATAGGGGGAGGGGGGAGGGGGGTGCTGCATATTTCTCTGGTGTCCATATCACACTGTCACTGCAATGGTCCAAAGTCAAATTATTTTCATCTCTGTCTGGACAATGACTTAAATTACACATACATGGGTAAACTTATTTTGTTTAAAGCTTGTACACAGATGTATGACCTAGATGATGTGTGATGGTTGGAGACATGTACTATAAAGCTTAAGTAATGCTGGTTTCTTAATTGTCTTAAACATTCAAAGATTATTGGATTCATTTTTAGTGTAAATTCTGATTCCAGCTTATTTAAAAATAATGTTCTTCAACTTCTTTTCAGGCAATTACAAAAGTAAAGTTGGAGCTTGATTTAACCAGATACAAAGACTTCTCTCTGAACTTCTCTGGGTACCAAACACAAGGTTTGTTTATAGCTGACATATATGATAAAGGTTCACTGGTTTTAACCCTCAATAGGTTTTAATAGTTCAGCAACAAAAAGTACTGTCAGAAATTGTTCGTTTTCAAATTATTTAAGTATAATTGAATTAGTGATGCTTAAAATCACTGCCCAAAATCATGATTGTTTGTTTTTTAATCATAACTTGCAGACTGAATTTATGTTTTTTTCCATTATTTCTTCATTGTGTTATTTTGAAATTTGCTTGTTCTATTGTAACACATGTATTTACAAAGTATTTATTTCCCAAATTGAGTAGAAATAGAAATTCCTATTATTTTTACGAAGACTTTATATGAAGGTTGGGTATCCTTATCCTTTACAGATGATTACAGCTATCAGATGTTGAATCCAGGGATGTTCACTGTAACTATGGCGCCGGAGGAAACCATTGAAGGGGAGATAATCTTCACTCCATCAGAGGTGAGAATTCGCTCTGCTTCCAGTGTCTGTGATAAGTCATACAAGCTCAATGAATTCAGTGCAAGGTCTATTTTATGTATTGTCAAAAGATACAAGATATTGTGACTAGTGTTTTGCTTTGAAAAAAAAGAAGAGGTTTTCTCTTGTCTTGATTTGAAACAAAACTATAGATGTGATTGTGACAATGTAAAAAGAGTTGATATTTATAGGTTTACATTGATGTGTTGAAGGTGTAGAGCTGTCTGTGTGCTATTATAACGTTCCCACACGTGATTATTAAGATGGCTATTCTGTGTTACAGGTGGCAGCCTATGACTTCATCATGCCTGTTATAATCAACCAGATTGGAGCTCCATCTCCAGCCCCTACCCCCTTCCCTCCTACCCCTGCCCCCTCAAACAAGAACAGCATACAGCATATTATCAACCCCCGCCCCCAGCCCCTGTCCATTGCCACTCCAAGGAAACATGTCATCGCCACAGCCCTGCGGCAGCCATTACAACTCTCTTCCAACAAGATAGAGTTTGCACTGCCGTCCACCTTTGAGGATCCCACCGCCTCCACCGGACTGGGAGTATCTAAGGTAATACCACATACAGTGGTTATGTTTCAAGTCTTATTGTTTGTTAAAAACTTAATTATCATGTTATATTGATTAAATAACTTCAAAAGGATCTTATCTATAGGTATAAGATTATTTATCATTAATATGATAAGGTCATATAAACAACTTTATTTGGAAAATGTTTAAAAAGTTATTGTAAAATATCTAGATAATTGAGATTTGTTGATTGTTTGATTTTCAGCACACTGTTCAACAGGTAAAAATATCACCCCTTGTAATTAATTACTTTCTATACACTGTACTGTATTATGCCTGTGTTGTACCTGTTTTAACAGCTTCTAAATTGTATTACCCACAATACACCTGCCTGCATATTATTGTCTTCAATCAGACCTCAGCTTCAGCTAGAAATATATTAGAAGTATGGGAGATCACGCCAGGATTATTGCTTAAAATTCTAATTCTATCATTGTACTTGAATGCTACATTTGATATCAGTTTGAACATAGTATAAAAGTTGTATTCAATCCTGAACTGATTGATATGTTCTTGACTTGGAAATAATGGTCCATCTGCATCTCTTAATAAAGTCCAAGTATAAGATCACAGAGTGCTCCTCGGTATATGGTTACATATTGATAACTATTTAATACCATGATTACCATGATGTATTACAATAACATCTGAAAGGATTTGACTGTTATGTCTGTTATGTATGTACACAGAAATATGTATCTCTCCCCAGTATGGTTGTGTGTATGTACACAGAAATATGTATCTCTCCCCAGTATGGTTGTGTGTATGTACACAGAAATGTGTGTCTCTCCTCAGTATGGCTATGTGTATGTTCACAGAAATATGCGTCTCTCCCCAGTATGGTTATGTGTATGTTCACAGAAATATGTGTCTCTCCCCAGTATGGCTATGTGTATGTACACAGAAACATGTGTCTCTCCCCATTATGGCTATGTGTATGTACACAGAAATATGTGTCTCTCCCCAGTATGGCTATGTGTATGTTCACAGAAATATGTGTCTCTCCCCAGTATGGCTATGTGTATGTACACAGAAATATGTGTCTCTCCCCATTAAGGCTATGTGTATGTACACAGAAATATGTGTCTCTCCCCAATATGGCTATGTGTATGTACACAGAAATATGTGTCTCTTCCCAGTATGGCTATGTGTACATGTTTGTACACAGAAATGTGTCTATCCCCAGTATTGTCAGTATTGTCAGATCACCAACTGTCTGTAACTGAGCTTTCCTACATCAACACTTCACAACTTTCATTTCCTTGTTTGGTTAAATGTATGTGTTATAATTGAATGTATATATGGTAATATAGGCCTGTCAGTGGGTTACATGGTATTTAGGGTAGTCAGGCTACCAAACTGATATAACTTTCACCTGCCTTTGCACAACATGTCTTCCTCAGCTTGTTTCCTGCTTGTTAACTTTCAAATAAGCTATACACCTATATATATATAATATATAAATAATAAGCATGTATATATAATATAATATCCTACAGCATGTTAGTTAGACAGAGGATAGTTTAATAGGCTCGAGCTCAGTAACCAAGTACACTTACATAATATAAAGGTACTGCCATGAGTACTTTGGTAAATAATAAGGTTGAATTATATAGCCACCAATAAGTTAGTGGTATTGTGTTTCTGGTACCCAAAATATTTACCAATGATTAACTGTTTGTACATGACAGTAGATAAAAACACTGTTGCCATTTTGTAATTTTTTGTTATCCTTGTTTCCTAATTTTGCTGTAACAGTCATTTTTGAAAATGGTTATGTCGTAATTTATATCATTTCATTGAGTGTGGTTTCTTTCCTAGTTTTAGAATTAAGTTTTGACATCAAAACATATATTCAGTAATATATTAATAGTGTATTTGTCGACGTCCCTTGTAACCTGCGTTGGTCTGTGTTTCCAGGGTACCGTGCTCGTTAACAACAGTGACAAGCCTCTCAAGTGGTTGCTGGATCTGTCTGCACCTGTCAAGGCTCTGCAGGACGGAATCATCAAATTTATCCATCCATCAGGTGTGCCGTTTGTGGTGATGGACCCACAGGAGAGTAAAGGCGTGGAGGGTATACTGGAACCAGGACAGACCCAGCACATTGCCATTTTGTTCTGTCCCAGTAAGTTACACAGAGGTTTTCATGTTGAAATCATTTCAAGATAAACAAGCTATTATTTCAATGTAATAAGATGGCTAAATTTTAACTTTTAAAGGAAGTAATATTGTAAATTGTGATCAGAAATGAGCAAGGAGGTTAATTAATGGGAGTTATTGTTTTACTCTCAATATCACCTGCAATTCTTTTGCCCAGCTGTTTATTTTACTTTGAAAGCAAGGAACAATTCTTTTTCTGCCATTTTTCAGCTGAGCCATGTCGCCATGAGTTGGTGATCCCAATTCTGATCAATGACTCAGAAAAGCCGTACCAGTATCTACAGGTCATTGCCGAGATGAAGTCCCCAAAGCTTTGGTTTGACCCTCTAGCCATTGTCATGACCCCTGTGCCTCTTATGACGGAGGTTTCCACAGAATTTACTGTCCTAGCTGGACAATACAGCAAGTAAGTTTGACACCAGTCAGAATGGTGGAGGAAAACACACACTTTTCTACGTTCTATACTTCTTCTGTCTGTATAAAATCATGGTTTATTGGCAGTGTTTTTTTCTGTACTAAAATTGTTGATATAGTGAATAACTTTTTTTCAATTATGTTTCTTTGAATTTTATTACTAATCACTAGATAATGTTACAAACAGATGAACAATCAAGCAGAGCACCTGTACATGTATCAGACTTTGAGCACACTGTTATTGACTGTTGTAGGCCATCCCAGATCTCCGTGATTACCCCGACGGTGGAATGTGAGGACGGCAGTACAATTTCACCTATCAGTGTTGTCTGGCCTGAGGGGTCAGGTATGTTGTTAGTCTAACTAAAATTATCGTTAATTGTGCTAAACCACAATTCAATTCACCCAATAAATCTTGTCCCAATTTCCTTATTTACATTTGATTACATATAACTAAAGATAGATACTGATCAAGTCAACAACAAAATGTGATACATTTCAACTATTTAACACATGTACTACAGATGGGATGTTTGGTTTTGTTGTTTGTTCTCAAGCGTAATCATCAAACTCACACTGAAATTATCACACAAACTGGCACTCAAGTTAGAAGTGAAATATTCTATGATTACAGAGGTGAGTCCCTGCTGTGGAGATGATGGACAGATAGAACCCTGTGCTCTGCCCTGTAAACTCATCTTCTCTAGCCCAAAACCAGTCTCCTTCGCAGAGCCAATCCTGTTTGTGGACTCAGATGACCGGAAGTAAGTTACTACTGCAGAAATTACAAATAATTGTACTGTTACACTGCCATGACATTCAAAGGCTGAACATGAGGTCTAGAACTGTTAAATACAATGTTTGACTTGAAATTTCCAGGGCAACATTTGTCAATCTGTTGTATAAGATCTATAAACGCATTGGTTTGTGAGGTCTGTGAGGGAATAGTTGATACATCTTTGTGCCTCTGTTCTTTGAAAATTGTCAACTCTGTTGTGATATAATGATACAGTATGGTAACCTCTTAGGTGTAGTTGTATGTGACTGAAGATTAAATTGGCTGAAAGATAGGAAAGGAAGAAAAAAAACATTAGAGAAAGCTATAGATGCCATTTAATTAAAAAAAAGTATGAAGCCAACCTTTTGTTGTCTAATTTAATGGGATGTTTGTGTGTCCAGATTTAAGCTGATGGTGATGGCCACCTCTGACAACTGCCTACTGACTTGTTACCACTTCCTGGCCCTCCACAGGACTGACCACCAGATTGTCTGTGAACAGGTGAGAGTTGGCTCTGGTCAAACTCTTCTAGAAAATTTATATGTAATCACATAATCACACCTTCAAAATATTACACAAAAAAAGATGTAGAATTTCTAAATAATAGAGATTTATTATATAAATTATTTGTATTTTCATATTTCTGAAAAAAAATTGATTCAGTTGTCATATTCAACATATAGAGATATGATGTTTTTTGTTTGTAGGGGGCATCACCCAAGGGTCGTAAGTTCCTGACGAAGGAGAGTCTTAGTGGTGGTGAGGCTGTGATCGTCCCGTGTGTATCCCCGACACACAACAGTCGCCCCAGCACCAGCGCAACCAGCTCCAACTTCCAGATCTCCTCCTCAAGCTATGAGTCATCTGGTAGTGTGACAGGTAGGTACTAAACAGAAACTTCTAAAACACAACCACAGAAATCATTGCGTGTTCCATTGGATCTCAGATATCCCAGCAACTTGTATACCCAGCAAATGTGGATGGTTTTGATAGCTCAGACAACTTCAAGAGAATGGATAATTTGTTCCCAGAAATATTTGCTGTATATTGGGACTGTGAATTGGCAGCTGGAATAGTGAGTCTTGATTATATCATGCTGCAGTAAAAATCTATTTTCAGTATTATAATATAATTACCTGTGAAATTACTACCTGTCATTTAGATTCCACCGATGGCAGTACCCCAGTAAACCGGGAGGGTGCTATGAACAAGCCTCCATCAGGCTCTGAGCACGCCATGAGTCGCAACCAGCAGGACCTCGCCTCTCGCTCACTGGGATCAGCAATGTTCCCAGACGAGGATTCTGAGGAGGGAATATTCCACTTGGAGGTTCTCCTTGCAGTCCAAAGATGGTACTCCTCTCAGGGCTGGCCATCAGGGCAGTTCCCCATCAGTATACCACACTCACTCAGGAGGTATGCGTTTAAACCTGTGTTTCTGTGTTCTTGTAGATTTCCTTTGAGCCTGTTACAGTTATTAGCTATGACAGACTAGTTCTAGGAAGGACTAATGTAAATTGTATTTCAACCTAAATAAAAAAAAGGAAAAACTGCAGTAAATGTTCAAAATCTTGTATGAAAAGGTTGATTTGATTTTATCCATAATGATTTACTCTCCTGTAATATGTGCTCTTACAGTGAAGCATGTATATCAACAGACATGTAGTAGGAGATAAAACACAGTTCAAAAAGATAAATCAATCAATGTTTTTACTCCCACAGTGGTATCAGTAGGAAGCCGATCAATGATGACATGCCCAAGCAGGCCAAAGCTGGAAGCTGGGACACCAACAACCTGAAAAAGGAATTCAAAACCATCTACGACATGATGTGTCACCTTGCCGGACGACCCATACCTGGGATCCCGATTAACTCACCTTTACCCTCTGACCCCATAGAGCGGGTCAAACAGGTGTACTGGCAACATTCAACGCTGCTTACATTCCTCAAGTATGCTAAGTTTAAACTGTCAAAGCTAAAAATAAAAAAATAAAAAATTTGTTTGAATTTTGGTATAAATAGTTGATCATAATCATTTTGGGTCATTTGCTTGTGATATCCTGAATGAAGGACCTGTCAAAATGTTTTAGTGACCATTGTCTGTGGAACTACAGTCATACATTCAATTTTCCTGTCGTAATTGTAAATTTTTATTGTATTCTTTTGAATTTCATATATTTTATATTTCAAATATAAGGCAACCGTTAATTTCTGAAACAGTAAATGTCATCTGTCTTGAAATCATTTATGTTTGACACCTTGTTGTCAGGTTTTTAGCATTCCTATCTTATAAGATAAAAAAATTGAATTTCTTATTTATATCAAGCTGGACTAAATAGCTTACATACCAGATAACCTTGACCTTTAACTTCTAGAGGTCATGGTACATTGTAGTAGAGGTCCTAGTGCATTGTGGTCTCAATAACTTACCAAACCTTGACCTTAACCCCTAGGTGTCAGGGTGCCTGTGTGGCGTCCATTAAGCCGGAGTACCTGATGGAGCCACGGGACTACCATCTGTGGAAGCAAATGCAAAAGCAGCTGAAGCTGGAACTTATGACACAGGGTGAGGAAGAGGAGGCCAAGAGGATGGATGAGGAAGAGGAGCTGGAGGGTGATGTGTTTGAGGCAGTTTCTAAACGTGCCTGGACTGATATCCTCCTACAGATTCTCAAGGTATTATCAACAACAGTATAAAGCCAATACTACATCAACCTGTATAAACCTGACATCCGACTAGGTCCCACTGTATAAACCTGACATCCAACTAGGTCCCACTGTATAAATCTGACATCCAACTAGGTCCCACTGTATAAACCCGACATCCAACTAGGTCCCACTGTATAAACCTGACATCCAACTAGGTCCCACTGTATAAACCTGACATCCAACTAGGTCCCACTGCATAAACCTGATGTCCAACTAGGTCCCACTGTATAAACCTGACATCCAACTAGGTCTCACTGTATGAACCTGACATCCAACTAGGTCCCACTGTATAAACCTGACATCCAACTCGGTCCCACTGTATAAATCTGACATCCAACTAGGCCTCACTGTATGAACCCGACATCCAACTAGGTCCCACTGTATAAACCTGACATCCAACTAGGTCACACTGTATAAAGCTGACATCCAACTAGGTCACACTGCTAAATATGAACTGCACCCCCAACACTAGATACCAATATTAAACATGTACATGAATTAAACCTAGACCTGTAATTTCCATTGACAAGTTCAGTAGAATTAATTTGTGGATAGAAACAAGAATTGAATATCGGTATTGTATATAACATGGTCAACAAACATGTTCTTACATCTGTATTACACGTACTAGGAAATGCTCACTGCCTTGTTTGTGGACTTATCCTACCATGAAAACACCAAGACATGTGTGCTGGGAAAGTAACCTCTGTTAGTTTTAATGGACTTTATTCTATATTTCATTTAAAGATTGTAGAATAAAAAAAATGAAAATCACCGGTGTTGTTTGATACTGTTGCAGTGTGTGGTCCTCAGTAAGGTGACTCCACGGAGCCTGAAAAACCTTGTGTCACCTGACAAGAATGTGGAGATGCCCATTGTGAACCCAGACCCACTCAGCAGCAACATCTATTGTGTAGGGGAGAGAATTATCCTGACCTGGCTCAACCACCACTATGAGCACTACAGGACACGTATCTGGTCCAACTGTAGCAAGGGTACGTCCAATTACTTAGGAATTGAAAATTCTGTTATTATTGATGATTCAGTGAAGAAATCAATATGAACTCTGTATACCTATCTAGTTATATAGCGGATGTTTATGGCTATTTGTAGGTGGGGTACCTCCCTCTCGTTGGATTGTTAACTATGACTTTGACCTGTTGGACGGACTGGTGTTGGCTGCTGTCCTTGGAGCTCACATGCCCTTCCTGGTGAGTGTCCCAAATCTTCACACCGTTTAATTAGAAGTTCCAAGGATGAAGTACCGCTAGTTCTTTTGTACAGTTAATAACAATCATAAAAAAATGTGTATGTGAATCTGGTTCAGAAACTATCAAAAAGAGAATTATTTCTAACCCATATGTAGCAATTAATTTCATTAAATATCATTCAGAGTTATATTTTAGTAGCAGTAATTTCATCAACATACAAAAATTTGAAATCAATATTATACAGTGAAGACCCTGGTAGAACCTTGGTGACTGTTTATTTATTTCCTCAATGATTTACAGGAAGTCTTGTACTAAGTATTTCTGTATGTTAAATATTAAAACAGTTTGATGGCAAACACTTCAGTAAGTTCAGATCATTATTGATATTACAGATAAAGACCCACCTCCAGGATATGTACACTCACCCTGCAACCGCGGAGCAATGCCTCCACAATGCTCTCAAGGTTGTCAACGCCATGAGATATGCCGGAATAGACTATGACATACAGGTATGTCTCTGGTACCAGGTGATTCTGCTGCAAACATGTTCAGAAACAAAACCTTAAATTGTGATGCTGATATCTAATATGAAACTCAGAAGTAACTTAGTTGATGGAAAGGAGCATTACATGGAGTGGAAGTAAGATTGATATCACCTTTCCAAAAAGGGGAGGAACAAGCTATTGTTTGCAATGTTTTAAAGAGAAAAACACCTTGTTATCTTACACTGTTTTTGCTTTACAAGTGAATTTCTTTGCAGGCGATTGACATCACAGACCCTAACCCCATCGCCCTGTTGTTACTTTGTGTGAACCTGTACCAGAGACTGCCCCAGTACATCCCCAAGGCCACCATCGACTTCTCGGGAAGTCTGCACGCCTCAGTTACCAGACAGGTACAGTTAGTTTCACAACAGTCTGCCTAGCTATCAGAATAAGTAGCTCTGTATAGATCTATATCATATGTTACATTCATGATTTTTTCAAGGAAAGATTGTATGTTTGATTTTGATGATAGGCTATGTTAATATCAGATAAGAAAGCAGCCAATTCAAGGGTAAAATAGAAATGATGGAAATATTCCTAGAAGTCTACCTTTATTGTTATTAATGTATGATGTTGAAATTTCTTAAACACGATTGTTTTCCCTTTAGGTGAAGTTGAGTAACCCCAGCGGTAAGACACTTGTTTACCAAGTACTTATTGCTGGACATGATGCTCGTGACTTCGGCGTTCCCAAGGGTGAATTTGTATCGATTTCTCCGAGATCCATCCTTTATCTCAATGTGGATTTCACAAGTCGATTTCTACGCCCTGCAGAGGCCACACTGATTCTGGTGGGGCGTCGTCACGGGTCCTCAGTCGGGACAACATTGACGTTCAATTTAAGAACCCAGATAGATAACATCACGCCCAAGGTAAGGCAATACTTATACTAGTGTATGTTGTATATGCTGTGTATCTCACAGTGTATTGTCTCTGGTTGGAGAGTAACTGTTGAGTCTTGTATAGTATGTTTATATGATGTCACATTGTAGTGTCAATTTGCATCAGTTAAACGGTTATGGTGAATTTAACACTGTCCTCTTTATAATTAACTTTTATTTAGATCTGTTATCTGTGGTAATGGGATATTCTCTTACAATTCATGATCTACACTAGTACTTGTCTATTTAGCTAGAACTCTATTAGAGATTGGTCCCTTGAATATTCACTAGGAACTTCTGTAGAATTATATTATGTATGAAAATCAAGTGAGATCGATGCCTTTCCTTTAATTATCTGATTTTTTCTAAAAGTTTGAAACAGTATCCATTGTAGTACTAGATTTTACATTGAAGAACAAATATCACGATTTGTTTAGTCTCATGTTTGTTTGCCTATATTATAGTACTTAGGTAGGGCTATTAATGCTGTGTTATATTATATTATAGTACTTAGGTAGGACTGCTAATGCTGTGTTATATTATAGTACTTAGGTAGGACTGTTAATGCTGTGTTATACCATGTTGATGTACGACGTGTATAGAACAACTGTACTGCAGGTTTAGTGTGTTAATGGCTATATATGTACACATACCCCCAACTGTACTGCAGGTTTAGTGTGTTAATGGCTATATCTGTACACATACTCCCAACTGTACTGCGGGTTTAGTGTGTTAAAGGCTATATCTGTACACATACCCCCAACTGTACTGCGGGTTTAGTGTGTTAATGGCTACATCTGTACACATACCCCCAACTGTACTGCAGGTTTAGTGTGTTAATGGCTATATCTGTACACATACCCCCAACTGTACTGCGGGTTTAGTATGTTAATGGCTATATCTGTACACATACCCCCAACTGTACTGTGGGTTTAGTATGTTAATGGCTATATCTGTACACATACCCCCAACTGTACTGCGGGTTTAGTGTGTTAATGGCTATATCTGTACACATACCCCCAGCTTTCAGTCATCGCTTCTGCTTATCAATATTTGTCTGCCTGTTTTATTTCAGCAGAAGAAAACAGAAGAGGTAGATTACAATGCATACTCACAGGTTCACTATACTAACATCTTACAAGTATTGCAAACTAGCGGTCCTGTCCATCCCTGCCTGCCACTAACGATCACCCTTCACATATAGGCTTGGTACTGCAGGTCTGGGCTCTTCTTATCTCGTGTTTCCTTTGTTCTACCATCAATGACATCTCTCAATATTGAAACTTAAATATTTTGGGCGTAAAATGAAAATCTCATTATCTTAGGAATATATTATGTTGAATGATTATAATTGAATGCAATGGATACAATTTTAGTTGATTCCAAAAACATTGGTAGTGCAATTCTATAATTTCTGTTTTTCAAACTAAATCCTGGATACAAAATGGTACTTGAGTTTCTTTTCTATTGTTAGTGACTTCATACTTTCAGTTGAAGGGCAGGCATGGAAAACTTCATATAAGTTCTGAACAATGAGTTGACAGATTCTGCATGTTCTTTAGGGAAAATTATTTCCTCCAAATTTAAAGAAATGTTGATTTCTTTTGCTATTTAGTTAATTCACCCGCAACCCCATCCCACCCTAAAAATATGGGTTTCAAAATGTCTATTTTGCAATACTTTAAAAACAATGTAACTTAATTGTGATCATTCTCCATGATAGAGCTGTCGGATCTAATGGCATTATAAGACCATTATTTTCTAGAATTAGTTAGAACTTAGTTTAATAAAAGGAACTTTTCCTTGATGTGTGCATTTGCTTTCCTTGTTTGGTTATTGTTTTATCAGAAAACCAAATCTTCTGCCTCCATGATTCATGTTTCCAATGTTTGTTGTCTCCATAGCCAATCAGATATATGAGAGGGTACAAGTATACTTACATATTGTAATGGTTATATATTACTGCACACCAATCATTTTCATCAAACACACAGTAGCTTTGTTTTGTTTGAAGCACTGTCACAGTATCACAATATTAATTTCCTATTTAATTAACAGATAAGTTTTTCCATTTCATATAATCATTCACTGCCATATCAATACATTATAAATGAACTTTATAGTCAATGTATTAACAAGGAGTTGTTATAAGTTATTTCTGTATCAGTTTACCCGTGCTCCTTGTTTTGTGCTCCACCAAACCATTTGTTTAACACTTTTTGTTTAGGTCTTGTGCTAAATTGTGATTTAATTTCACTACTTACAGCATGTCTGTTTTTTTTCAGCAAATTTTATTAAATTATTACATCTGCAAAAGAACTGATCATGTATCTCAGTGGGATTTTTTATTTAAGAAATGTATTCATTGTAAAATACTGTGTAACCATTTCAAATCAATAAAAAATAAGTATATTTGATGATATAATCCCATGTTTGGATTTTGAAATGAATGTAATTGATAGTAGAATGTAGATGGTTGATGATGGTGGGTCGGCTCATAATACGCCTAGGTAAGGTTTACTAGTATTGATCAAGCATAAGCTACTGAAGAGGATATTTTGATTGTATGGTGGCATTGCTCAGTGAAGTACCCTGGCCATTTTTTACCCCTTTATAATATTAATGTACAAGAAATTTTGAAAACTCCTCTTGAACATGTATGATATTGTATGTTTACATTCACTGTTTGATTGTCCTCTTGAATACATATCATTGTATGTTGACATGTACTTGAATATGTTTGGTTGCACTGTTTGACGGTCCTGTTTCTGTTCACAGTACACTATTAAGTGTGAGGCGCCGTGTTATGAGCTGGAGAAGATTCCCATCAATGTGCGGAATCCATTTAATGAGGCTGGAGACTTTAGGATCGTTCTTGTTGAGGCTCAGTCCAGTCTTCTCGAACCAGGAAAAACAGCATCCCTGTTAAAACCAAAAGATAAGAGGAAACGTAAAGTGCGTGCTCGTATTGACCATGGTCAGAAACGTCCAGAAACTCCCCCCACTCCTCCGCCAAAACTGCCAGAGGAAACAGACAAAAGCAATGGTAGGGTGTTTATTGTTGGTAGATATGATCAACCCAGGAGTTTTCTTCAGACATATCTTAAGTTTCCACATCACAACTTCTAATGTAAAACATTATTTATGTTTTTGTCATTGACAACAATAGCCTTATAAAACTATATCTGATTTAACTTCCAGCTAATTACAGTTGTGATTCTTATATATATTTTTATCATTTTTTTTTTTTTTCATTTTTTTTTTTGTGTTTTTCAGATGACCAAGTGTCCATGAGTGCATTCTACAGCCCCAACTCCAGTGTTTATCTGGATGCTAAGGGCTCGTCTACCGTCGAGATCTACTTCCTACCCTTTAACATTGGGGAGCGACAGGTGTCTGTGATCTTCCTCAATGAATCAATAGGAGAGTTCCTGTATTCGGTGGAGGCCACAGCCACCCTGCCCCTCCCAGCTGTAGTACCCTTCGTTAAAACCCCCCACAGTGTCAGGATCAGCAGTGCTGCAGCAGCAGGTATGCTCCCGTATCCAAGCCTCCACATACAATTACAAACAATAATATCATGTTTTACTTGATCATCTGTTGTTTCCTTGTAGGATATGGGTATTTAGTGTAATGTTCAACGTGAAGTGTGATACAATTGTCTACTGGAATATCAAATTTTCTGAGTGTATAATCTGTTCTAAATAAAAATCATGTTTATGACATTTTACCAGTTAAAGATATTATTGCAAATTTAGCTGAAGACAGAATTTAGAATGCCACATATCATCATGACAATGGTATCAGTCTTGGCCATTTGTTGTGACTGAACAGGAGAATACCCGAAGGCATCCTATTCATACCAAAAATTCATAGTTAAATAAAGTGCTTAACTATTAAAAATACTACCAGGAAATGCTAATCGAGGAAATATGTTTGACTTCTCAGGTACTGGGCGTGGTCTATTTGGTGGTGATGACCGAGTCGTGTACTGGAAGTGTGAGTCAGGTCAGACACTTCAAGAGAACCTCAAGGTTCCAGTCCTCAACAAGACTAAAGAGAAGGCCCTTCTGATGGCCGCCCAACAGGTGAGTGGGTTGGGCTGGTAGAAAACAGGAAAGGGATGTTGTTAGGGTGTCAGATTATCAGGTGAGTGGGCGGGGCTGGTAGAAAATAGGAAAGGGATGTTGTTAGGGTGTCAGATTATCAGGTGAGTGGGCGGGGCCGGTAGATAATAGGAAAGGGATGTTGTTAGGTTGTCAGATTACCACGTGATAGACGAGTGGGATGGGATGGTAGATATTTAAAGGAACAGAGTTAGGGTATTTGATGGATGCTCAAAATGTAAATGGGTAGGGCTACAGAGAAAGTGGTTGTTTATGATGTTCAATGGGCGCTTTAGATGTAAGTGGGTGGGGCTATTAGATAAATGGAAAGTGGTTGTTTAGGATTTTCGATGATTGCTCTAGATGTAATTGGGTGGGGTTATTAGATAAATGGAAAGTGGTTGTTTAGGATGTGCAATTAAGTTCTAGATGTAAGTGGGTGGGGCTATTAGATAAATGGAAAGTGTTTGTTTAAGATGTTCGATGATTGCTTTAGATGTAAGTGGGTGGGGTTATTAGATAAATGGAAAGTGTTTGTTTAAGATGTTCGATGATTGCTCTAGATGTAAGTGGGTGGGTCTATTAGATAAATGGAAAGTGGTTGCTCAGGATGTTCAATGATTGCTCTAGATGTCAGTGGGCAGGGCTGTTCTAATGATAAGTGGGTGGGGCTATATATGGATGGGAAGTGGTGAGTTTACGAAGTTAAGTGGTTGGCAGGGGACATCTCTAGATCTGAATAACAATATGTTTACATATACAACATATCACATTTAATGTGTTATCAAATTTAAAAAATGTTTAACTTGAACATGAAACTTATGTCAAAAGCATTCATACCCATTTATGTCAAAATCATATTAACATATTGTAGACGTTGTTCTATTGAATTGAATTTTGAACTTTTAGTATTATATATGGTTTAAAAGCACAGTAGGTTTTTGTAGGAAATTTATTTTACACATTTTTGCACCTAATGTTGTTAGATTTGTTACAGGTAGAAGTGGAGTAGATTAGACCATTTTACCGTAGAAACATTATGTGTTGGTGGAGTAGATTAGACCATGTTACCGTAGAAACATAATGTGTTTGTGGAGTAGATATGACCATGTTACCGTAGATTCTATATTTGTTGTACAGATTGTTACACCTATTAGATATTGATGCATGCTTCAGTCAGCCTATTACAGGCTGATGGCTCTATTAAGGTGGAGGGGTGTACATGTGGTTTTACAATGTTGTGTATCTGTCATGTACCTACATGTCACTACCTACATTTCAATGTTAATCATGTTATACATTGTTATTGTAAACAGTCCTGTATTATCTGTTGTTTGAGGTTTATTTAAGTGTATCTGCCTTAATAAATTTGAAGCAGTTAGTGATCCTATTTTCTCTCAAAGTGATATTTACCGTAGTTTATAAATACCAAGTTTCCTGTTATACAAAGTGATATTTACCGTAGTTTATAAATACCAAGTTTCCCGGTATACAAAGTGATATTTACTGTAGTTTATAAATACCCAGTTTCCTGGTATACAAAGTGATATTTACCGTAGTTTATAAATCCCAAGTTTCCTGGTATACAAAGTGATATTTACCGTAGTTTATAAATACCAAGTTTCCTGGTATACAAAGTGATATTTACTGTAGTTTATGAATACCCGCAGTTTCCTGGTATACAAAGTGATATTTACCGTAGTTTATAAATACCAAGTTTCCTGGTATACAGAAAAACTGTTTCAAAGTATATTTATACCCCCACCATTTTAAGGAGAGTATTTAGTGTTACTTCACCATTTGATTTACCCATCGTATGTCTGCCCTGCCCTGTCCAGTTTCATTCCGTTTCATTGTGATTACTCAAGCGACTTCAATAGTCAAGTATTAGAAGTTTAAAAGAAGTAAATATATTTCAGGGTCTCAAGATCAAGACCAATGTCACTTGCTATTTATAGAAAATCATCAACCATTCAGTGTCCTTACTCCAGCAACTTTCCTAAGCAGATTTTGTTCCAACTTTATACAAAGGTCAATCATGAGAATGCCTTGGAAAAGTTTGTGTTGGTACCAAGGTCAAGCCTAAGGTCACTGTTACTATTTATAGAAGTTGTGATTGCACCTCCATGTTCCTATTTATAGATTTTGACAACTGATTCAGTTTCATCACTCTAGTATCTTTTTAGATTTTAATCAACATTTATACAAAGGTCGAGTTTGAGAAAACTTTAAATGAATTTGTTTTTAAGGGTGTAGTGGTCAAGCCCAATGTCACTGTTACTCTGAATAAAACAAGTTTCTAGCTACTTCATTTCTAAACAGATTTTAATCAAACTTCATTAAATAATAATAAAGAAGACTATCTAAGTAATGTATTAAAGATATCAATACCTTGAATTAGTTCATATTTCAGGATGCCAAGGTCAAAGTCACAATTCGTTACTATTTAAACAAGCGATACATGAAATTTGTTTTGCTTGGCTGATATTATAAAAAAATTCCAAGGTTTGAATTAGTTTGATTTTGAGCACTGTTCTGTTAAGATGGGTATATACTAAATCATGCAGTGATCAAATGTCAGTTTTGGGATTGCCAGGTCTGTATTATTACTATTACAAATGTTGACTCTTTTTTGTTAAAGACATGGAACAGTCTGCCACAAGAATTACCCTGTACCATATGCTGTTACATGTAAATCTGTTAAAGTATCCAGCTCTGTTTTATGGTAAATGTAAATAATATATGAGTACAAATACATTAACAAATTAAATTTGTTATATATCAAGTAAAGCTGACACAGTGACCAGACTAGGTTTTATTGTTAGCTGTGAACTGTAGATTTATTTTTGAAAAATCATGAATTTGCTTTTAATTTTTTGTAATTTGTGACCTGTATATTTGGTTTAATCTTGTACTCTGATCTGAAGTTTGGTGATGTGTCTTACAAGGTGATGGGAGTTTGTTGTTTTGTATGACGTGATGTACCATTGTTGTTTTGTATGACATGATGTACCATTATTGTTTTGTATGATGTGATGTACCATTGTTGTTTTGTATGACGTGATGTATCATTTGTTGTGACTGCCTGTTTTTACAGCACATGTCATCCATGGAGCTCCAGCGACGGCAGATTACGGGGACCCTCAAAACGAGTAGTGTCACCGCAAAAACTATCTCTCTGCTCACGAACAACGTAGCACAAAGCATTAGCCGTACTGCAAAGGTGAACTCTCACATGCATGCTTCATCACTAACCCTGATCACCCTCATCTCCTTGTAATCAGTCATCATCTTTGTATCTCTGTCACTGCCCAGTGTAAAACAAGGTATTCAGGATATCTGAGTTAAACTACATGGAGATAAACTACTAGCCTAAGGGTATTTGGGTTTTTGACTTCCTCATAATGAACTTATATAAATGTACATAGGTAACAGGTACCAGGTTGACTTGTGTTGTCATTAATAAGCTAGCGTCTTTACCATTCATTTGTATAGCACCACTTGTGTGCTCATCCTTCAATACAAACAGTTGTGTTGACATGTTTAAGCGCTGTCCAATTTTACGTGCATGCTGTTGGCAAGGAGGAAAATTCAGCTGCAATTATGCAACTCAATCACTCATTTATCCACATAATTGTACTGAGTCCTCACCCAGGTAGATTTTCTACACACGTTTGTACTGCCTCATAACATGTCTATAAAACTTTTCTCTGTCTACCCCTCATCAGAGTGTGTCATCAGAAACGGGAGTACTAGAGACAAACAACTCAGAAAACATGGTATAAGCTCAAGTGTATATTGTCTTATTTAGTTGTTGTAGTTGTACAGTTTTGTGGGACTTCCCCATCATTGCATGCCTCTCCGCCATTCATCTGTGGTGCAGCATATCCTAGCACTCAAAAAATTAATTATTAATCATCTAAAGCAGATTAGGATTTTTATTAGGTCACCTGAGACAAAGTCTCAAGTGACCTATTGCGATCGCCTTTTGTCCGTCGTCGTCCGTCGTTCGTCGTCCGTCGTTCGTCGTCCGTCGTGCATCCGTAAACAATTTACATTTTCGACTTCTTCTCCAAAACCCCTGAACCAATTTCAATGAAATTTTTCAGGGACCTTCCATGGACAAAGGTCAACAAAAATAGTTGCCGGTTTAGTCCTACGCTCCCAGGGGCCTGAGGGGCGGGGCCAAAAGGGGTCAAATTGACTAAAATTTCAAAAATCTTCTTCTCCAAAACCCCTGAACCAATTGCAATGAAATTTTGCAGGGACCTTCCATGGACAAAGGTCAACAAAAATAGTTGCCGGTTTAGTCCTACGCCCCCAGGGGCCTGAGGGGCGGGGCCAAAA